TGTGACAGGATGTACCTTTTTTCTCCATCTGCAGTTCAGTGTAATGAAGTGATTAGTAATAATAATAATCACAAGGTGATTCACCTAGAGTCTTCATCTACTAATAGTACAGTATCTCTACTATCATCAACTAAACTGCATACACTAAACCTGAGGAGACTTGAGATATGGTACACTCCGTTAACTAATGATTGTATCCAGTACTTGTGTATACTACTAACTAATAATAAAACAATACAACAACTAGTCATCAGTGGCCGCTCCATTAGTGATAGAGGAGTTACTAATATCTGTCAAGCACTTGAACACAACTCTACACTTACCTCATTAGATCTTTATGAGAATCCACTTATCACTTCTACTAGTGGACAGGATCTTTCTCACCTCCTCCTCAATAACTCATCACTACTTGAACTGAATCTAAGGAAGACTTCATTGTCTACTGAGTCAATACTACTCATCCTCCAGTCACTAATGGATAATAAGAAGATAAGGAGACTCAGGCTAGACAATCGACACAAAGAGACTTGTATTAATACTTATCCTAACTATCACCTCATACAAGACAGAGTAGCCTGGAGCTTGTATCCACCAAATCCATGGTTTTAAGGTTTTTTCTTGACCCTTAGAGACAAAATGAGGCATTAATTATGATGAAGAAAAAGGTTTGTGAAGATCATACAGAAAGAAAAGACAGTACTCTTAGCTGAGAGCAAAGGAATTGAATACTAGTACATCCAGTTACTGTAGTGTTAAATTGTTAATTTAATTAATAATTGTAAAGCAATAGAGAGAAGACAAGATTACAATATTAACGTCACATCTCATTAGAAAGAGAGAGAGAATTAAAAAAAATAATAATAATAATAGTTAATGTGCACATGCAGTATCAGAGTGTACCAGTGGATCCTAATTTAGTGAGATCCATTGAACTAAATGAATGTCCATATCCTAATGCTTGTCTTTTAGTGGGAGGAGCTCTCATTGGAGTAGGAGGAAAAGGAGGAGCTACTGATAGTGTACAAGTATTGAGAGTAGAATCCTATGAGAGGAGAGAGAGGGAGGGAGGGTATGTCACTCATAGTATTCTTACTAATACTATATTACTTACAAGATCAGTAAATGATTCATCCATTGTGTCTCACTGATCAACATTTTTACTAATAATATAAATACAATATGTACCACAATAATATCATAATATGTCACTAGTCTCTCTCTATATAGTATTAGTAACGCGGTAGCGTTACTAAGTAGGATTCACCCCATTTCAAAATGGCTGCCACGACTTTTGCAGCCTTGCTGTACCGGGAAACAGTGGCGGATCTGGGTGCAAGTTAATGGTAGGGCCAGGAAGTGGGTGTGTCCACTTTTCAACCAGTCATTTTATGATTGGTCATTTTTATGATGGGTTTCAACAATTTCCTTATCTATGCAGTGCTTATAATACTCTTCAAGCACTTGTAAGTACTCTGGTGTGGCTTGTGGTTTGCTTTATCAAAACTTGAGGCAGGGAATTGTTTACATTGCATCTAATGAATCTCATTACTGACTTCTGATGCCCCGGCCATGGCCCGTCTGGGCCCGGGCCTAGTCTCGCTGGCCAGACCCTTGCCTCCCTGCGGGGGAAGGGTCTGGTACAATGCCTAATGTAGCTTTGTCCCAGTAACAGCCACGTGGGTGTTGATTAAGCGTGATGTTATCATGATGTAAGCATGATGTAGCATGAGTCATCAGTGTTAAACCACGCCCAGACCATGTGTTACCGTGTGTCATGGATAGATTAGATAAGGCTATAGTAGAAGCTGCTTGTTCACAAGGATTTCCATCACTGAAAGAGGAGCAGGCTCTTTGTATTCGAGAGTTCATGTTAGGTAGAGATGTTTTTGCCATTCTACCTACAGGATATGGCAAGACCACTTGTTTCTCTTGTTTGCCATCTGCTTTCAACCTGTATGAGAACAGAAGTCGAGACAACAATGCTATAATAATAGTCATATCACCACTCACAGCACTTATTTGCGATCAAGTGCAAGGGCTATTGAAACGTAATGTTAATGCTGGTTATTTGTGCTCTGAATCTACTGCTGATGTTATTCAAAATGTGAGAGATGGTGCCTATAGCATTGTTTATATGAGTCCAGAGCTGCTTGTAGAGAAATGGAGATCTCTTTTTTCTACTTCAGTGTACAAGAACAGGTTTGTAGGGCTAATCGTTGATGAAGCTCACTGTGTTGTTAAATGGTAAGATTCCGCATTATTCACTATATGATATTTCTTATCTTTATGACAATGCATTTTTTGTTTATAGGGGACTATCATTTAGAGATGCTTTTTCAAGACTGCAGGAGGTTCGAAGCGTAATGCCTTCTACAGTTAGAATCATGGCTTTAACTGCCACAGCAACACAGCCACTGAGGGAGAAGATTCAGGCCATTTTAGGAATGGCAGCACCGTACACAATAATACGTTCCCCTGACAAAATTAACATGAGGCTGAGTGTGATTCCTGAAAAGGGATTCAATGCATTTGAAGTTCCTACATTCTTCAATCTAATTTTGAGAGAGACTAAAACGAAGCTGACATCACTACCTCGAATCATCATATTTTGTAAAATTAAGAGCGATTGTTGGAAACTGTATTCTTACTTTAAGTTGTCTTTAGGGAAGTATTTTTGCCATCCTCCTGGAACTTCGGCTCATGTAGTGCAAGCACGTCTGGTTGACATGTTTTTCAAGGGCACTGATTCAGATGTGAAGAAAAGCATAATTGATAATTTTACAAAACCTTCACCATTAAGAATTGTCATATGTACAGACGCTTTTGGCATGGGCATTGATTGTAAGGATGTGAGGTGCATCATCCATTATGGTGTTCCTACAGACAAAGAGACATATGTCCAACAGATTGGAAGGGGAGGCAGGGAAGGTTTGGAATCGTATGCAATACTTGTACGATCGAAACGGCTGACTGATAACTGTGAACCTGAGGTTTTGGAGTACATCAATAACAAATGTCAATGTAGGCGAAATGTCTTGTTTCAGGATTTTGAAAATGTTGTTAGGGCTCCAGAGAATCATGGCTGTAAGTGTTGTGACATTTGCATCAGGAATTGTAATTGTAATCATTGCATAGAAAATTTATCACTAAATTATAGTTTTATTCCTGTTTTGTTTAATCAAAATACTTAATTTATTAATAATTTCAATTTAAAAGAGTAATGAATTAACTCAATTAAACAAACAACTTAAATGAACTTTATTTTTAATGAAAATAATTGTGCCTGTATCCATTTGTGAAACTTTTCATTGTACCTAAGTGATGAAACAGGATTAGTCTTTATCGATTGAAATGTAGCATGTTTTCTATTATCCTGATGATTAAATATATCTGCTTCAAGGAGTTCCTTTATAATTGCAGACTTGTCTTTCTCTGAGGAAGCAATGGAGTGAGAGCCTGAAATATCAGGAACAGATAAATCTTTGTCAAAATTCTCCAGTAAAGAGTTAATGATGCCAACGCAACGGCCTACCCGTTCTAGTGCTTCTTCAGAGAAATTACTTCCCAACATTTCTACAGACTGTTTGCAAATTCTGTTTAAATGTTCCAAGAACAGATCACACGGAATATTCCTACCGGGAATTCCATGTACATTAATGCATCTTGACCATACTAATTGTTGTGACTGCCTTGCTGTAAGAAAAAAATGGTATTGCCCCAATATATTCAAAGCCTCTTGGCAGTAGTTCTTTCTCTGACGGTGTTTAAAAATTATCATGAAGTAACGCCAGCATCTCAATATTCTGCTTCCATCTCCCTCCCTGATGGCATCACTAAACTCCATATAAAGAAGACCCTGTGACAATACAGCCACTGCGTATGACATGACGCCATCCTTTTCCACATCTTCATCTAAACTGTAATGAGCTAGAACATCAACATAGTTCAAACAAATGCTTCTTGTCACTTTATCCAGCACTTCCTTCCTTTCCTGTTTAGGCTTAGTCCACAAATCAGCAACCAGAAGATCATGAACAGGAGAATCAGATGCTGCTTCCATCTGAAAGAACTGCATGGCAGCAACAACTATATGACACTTCACAACTGTAACAAAAAAGTCTTCACAGGCATTGAAGTCATCTGCCGCCTTAGCAGAAATGTTACGCCGGTCTATAACATTCCGTAGGTGACACAGTGTTCCTTTTTCCAAAAAACTTTTCCCTTTGTACATCCATGCCCATATCATCTAAAGTAGCATGACATAAAATAAAATTATGTTGAAATTTTAATATACCTCCAGAAAAATCTTCTTAGCATGCCAGTCCTCACATACTGGTATTAGACCATCCAAACGCTCTGCAGCTATAGGACTGTTCCTTCTAGCAAATTTTGCAGACTCAGCCCTTTTTCTAGTTAATTGATCACCGCCCAAAAGAATTTCATGCGTGACATCAAACGATATTGTAGACCCGCTAACTCCGTCAACAACAGTACTGTGTTCAGTAGGAGCATAAGACTGAAGCTTCAGCATAATATCTATCATATCTTCAACTACATTTTCATTCTTAAAAATAACTCCAAGAGGAGTCTATAAGAACAATAACATGCAAATTAAATATTAAATAAGCACAATAACTTACAGTTTCAGACTTCTGTGACATTTCTGTATAGTAATCATGCTGTATGTGATTTACAACAACATCTTCGAAAGTGTCAGAAAAGAAAGAGAATTCAGCAACCAGAACACGACTTACAATGGTGGAGAAATTAGCTATAAGAGCCTCATCATCAGGCACCGATGGCAACAGGGTATCAATAGGCAACTGCAAAATAGGTTTTGAGTAAAAAGGGTTAGGGCACTGAGAGCAAGATGATAAATCAATCCTATCCTTTACAGCAAAACTGTTAAAGAAATGGAATGACCTTGTTTTACGGTCAATTCTTTGGTGGCGACGTGAAATATTCTTATCTAAGTTGTCTCCCACTATTTTGAACCCATACCACTGGCCTTGTCCTACTGAGCTAGATTCAATATTATCAGGGACAACTAATGGAAAAGAGTAATAATAGAAACAATATAATAACCAAGACTAATAATCCATATTCAACAAATAGTTTTATAGTACATGTTTGAAATGTTTATGTTTATGTACCTGACTCAGATGAAATGTTACTAAAGGAAGGTGGTGCTAGAGTATCATCAATGGATTCATTATCAAAGCAGATCTGCGTATTGCCATCATCTACATGTAAAACTTCACATGTTTGACTAGATGTGAAGATGTTGTCCTAAACAATGAGCTTTAATAATGAAAACTAAAAATAAACTTACAAAGTCATTAGTATCATTCATCTCTTCGCCATCGCTTTCATTATCCCAAGTGCTATGACAATTGGCATTCATTGCATCAAAATCATCAAACTATCAAAGAAAATTAATGATACGACCATACAATACATGTACACTAATAAGTAATTATTTCACCTGTTCAGCAGATTCAATATGGTATGAATTCTATCAAAAAGCAGACTAAAACACTGTAACCATAAGGTTTTACATACTTTAATAGGCATGTTGTTCTGTAAAATATTAGCCATGTAAGTTAAAACAAGTTGGTCATGGTTATCTCCAAGAGAAGTAAGGAGTCTGTACAGAGAATTCTTGCTCGTGCATAATGAAAGTTGATTAAGACGTGTGTATATCTGCCAAAAGAGTTTGCAAAATGCTGAGTTATCAAAGTATTCTACATTATCAGCTAACCATTGTTGATGAATGTCCAGCAAATAGAATAGAAGATATAAGTTTCTGAAATAGAGACATTGATTTATTATGATAATTAGATAGCAGACAAACTATCATACACAAAAACTGCAATCGATTTGGCCTGTGTGAGAGAGGGAATGAGTGACAGTGCTGGCTAATTTACTACACATGCTTCATTAACTAATTATTCCTTACCTTGGTGTTTTTGTTTGTGTACTTGTGTTTAACAAACTTAGTAGAATAGGACAGTGTTCCTTTATTTCTGAATAAATTGTAATCCACGGAAAATGTACGATATCACTCTTATTTGAAGACTTCTGTATAGAATTGACATTCATTGTAGCAAGCTTCTTCAATTCATATTTAAGCTGTTTTCCAGTGCCCACAGACAAGTACTTCATAACTTCAGTATCAGATAATGCTGATCGAGCGATACTCTTGGCGGAATTTTTCGTACGAGAGATTGTACGAATAAATGCTTTCCTTCTTGGGGTATTCAATAGATAAGACCTTTCACCACTGCTGTGGCCAACTGTCACCTATTGAGCATTTATAAATAATGGGAAAACAAAATTAAAACTCACAACTATAGGAGGAGAATCTGGTGGAGAAGCGATGCATCTCCTTTTTGGAGAAGGTGGTAAAGAACATTCTGAATGAGTGACTGTAGAAATTGGAGTTGCAGATTCACTAGGTAAGTTATGTGCCTGAGATGAGTTATAAGAAGCCAGTAGAGACACAGTAGCTGATGTAGCTTCATATAAACGTAAATCCTTTGCCTGGTGGGACAAGTAAACTTTAGAACAACTTCTACACACAAAAGAGACAGCAATAATGGCATCAAGGTCGACGTTCAGATTATTGGCAGTACATCTATCACGAAGATACTTTTTCAGGAACTCAGAAACAGTTGATGCCTTGACTCTGGCTCGCTTTACAGCAGCTTCTCCACAAGCCAAACACTTATCCTCAAGAGACGCCATTTTATCATGTGACTAAAGTGACGTTTGGGTGACGTAACGCTTACGTTTTGCAATAGGTACATTTGATTGGTTGCGTACGATTTTGGACGCAGGGACAAAGCTACATTAAGCATTGTACCAGACCCTTCCCCCGCAGGGAGGCAAGGGTCTGGCCAGCGAGACTAGCCCGGGCCCAGATCCGCCACTGCCAGGAAAACGAGCTCCTATGCTTACCAGACTTCTTAGAGGACCTTATCTCGACCAGAGGATTCCATTAGTACCACTAGCGTGTCTCTAAACCTTGTCTAAGAGGAAAATGAAAAATCGTCAAACGGGCCGTTTTGTTCAGTCCACTTATTTCGTCTTCATCATCTCCTGTCAATCAGTTAAGCAGGGGTATCGTAGTCTTTGACCAACGCTACAAGGCTAATTCTTACACTATTCTACTTCAGCTGGCCATGCGCAGGTCTACAACTTCTTAAATAACTCTAACAAAAAGAAAAATGCCCTCTCTCTATCGTTGCAGTAGTCCACTGTCCACTTACCTCATTCCGCCATTTTGTTAATAATTAAAAGAAGCATGTGCTCCAAAATGTAGGTGTGGTCGCGCATGCTCAGATCTGCCATAGATAATAGAGTAAATGAAAGGGATTGGCAACGGGGCGTAGCAACTAGTGATGGGCGGATTCTTTATCGATATAAACGATATTTTACGGAATCGATTTGAATCATTATCGAAATTTTTATGCAATTTTCATCGATCTATTGACCACGCCCATTTATTAAGGTTAAATAATTAATTTTAATAAGTAATTGCACTGTTGAACTGCAAGAAAGAAGCAACTGACCAGTTGTTAGCTCAGCCTACCCCAATCAGAAGAGAACCAAGCTCAAGAGCATGAAAATGATCTTCTCTCATGACAAGTACAGTTATATCTGTGCCAAAATCATTAGCCACACCCTTGACACACCCCCAAAATGAAGGTGTGGTTATCGTATCGTTAATAATCGATATTTCCTTTAAAAGTCCAATATCGATCGTTATCGAAAATTAAGAAAATGGGCCATATCGCCCATCACTAGTAGCAACAGGAAATGCGGGTTGGGTTACCACGTGACAACCATCAGTGTTTTGGTTGATTTCCCATCTCCTCCATTGGTGAAGTTGCTCTGGCAGGATTTCAAAGGAAATTTGTGCTGCTCCAGGATAGCGCTTGCTTTTGATATATAGCCTATTCCACATAGAATTTTTAGAGCTACCTGTAGCAAGGTTTTTATCTCCAAAAAGCCATTTTTCAACCAGTTAGAGTACACAAATCGCCTGTTTTT